AACAAAATTATGCCAATTGGACTTTGGGCCTGACCCACACTGCTAAGCCCACAGCTTTCTTCTGCGTGTACCCCTCATTTCATCCATTTCTGCCTTTTTGTTTCTTTTTACTTGGGCCCATGAACCCCCAATTTGATCCAAGGCCCATCATCCTTTTCTAATTCCATTTTGTTGAACTAATATTTTTCTTATCATTTTATTTTCATAATCTATTACTTTTTCTTTTTTCTTTTTTCATTTTTAAATAACTTATTTTCTTTTCTTTGTTAATAATGAAACCAAAAATATATTAAAATTTTGTTTTAATTTTCTTAATTTAGTTTTCTTTTTAATAATAAAATACAATAATAATAAAGATTTTATTTTTGTTTTCTTTAAAAAATACAAAAATGATAGAAACTTTAATTTAAATAATTTTTCTTTTCTTTAAAACTCTTTATTTACATAATTCATAAAAAAACACAATAATAATAAATACTTAATCTTAACTAGGTTAAATTTTTATTTGTTTATTTGTAAATAAATACATGCACCTCTTAGTTCTTTGATTTTCCTTAATTTGTTACAATTTTTACATTGAATTGCGACAGTTCAATTTGGTTGTAACACATATTTGGACATTATTATTCTGATAAGACTCATCCCCATTTGTAAACATTTGTACCCCCATCCCCGGATACTCATTTGTAATAACTTAGACTTTAAATTCCCGCAATTTATTGCTTTCAATATACTGTATAGTAATTAGGGTTTGTATGCGAAGATCAAAATCAATCGCTAGATAACCTAATACAAGATAAATGCATGAAAATCAATACACAAATCACACTTGCACCTCTAGGGTAACCTCATTCATTGCTTCGGAAAATGCAATCATGTCCCTTAAGTATGAGACACTCTAGCAAATTCCCCTTCGATAAACAAAGATCGTAGTCCCTCGATGACCCTCGATGTTACCTTCAATAAAACGATCTTGTCCCTTACAAAATTGCTAGAGCGTCTCATAAGTTGTTTTCAATGATTGTATACGATGATCCGCGCCTGTCCCGTTTAAACATCCTAACGCAAGGTTGTTCCCCAAATACAATGGTGAAGTAACACTGTTAAAAGGGTTAAAAACATAAGAAAGGTCTTTGAGTAAAATAGGGTAGACAACTCTTAGTTACTTGACCAAAACTCTCGCAAAACATCCTTGCCATTTTCAAATACACTTCACAACACAATTTCCAAACAACTTTCAAAACATTGAAATATCTTTTCAAAAAGACACACACCTTTGTATATATTCAAACAAGAATCATTACAAAGGTTGCCTAGACAAGGCATCTTTTTCAAAGCGTGTTCAAAAACCACACACACAAAGCACCATTTCAAACAATTGAAAAGCAAAGGAAAGTGATCTAAAACAAGTAACTAAGAGCCCATGGAAAACCATGGATGAAAAGGGTGCTAGCACCTTCCCTTTTCATAATCTACCCCCCCGAACCCAAGAAAACATCTCAAAGGTCTTTCCTGTGCTTTTTGACCTTTCTTTAGGATAAAATAAAAAGTCGATGCGACTCTTGCTAAACCGAACAAGTGCGAACACAAACGCAAAATTCCAAGTCAGTTCTCCCACCGCATCACACCAATGTAGGGAAATTTTGTAATGTTTCTCGTATCGTTGAGAATGTATACAAAATGTTTGTTTTGAAGAGTGTTTTGAAGATAGTTGTCTTGAAAGTGTGAAGTGTGGAAATTGTTTTAGTTTGTGAGCAAACGATTACGAGTGATCTACCTAATCAAAAAGTCTTTGTTCTTTTTCTCCTTCCTTAGAGAGTTATATCCTACCATTAGTTAGTAGGAAGCCCTATCATTGGATGTGAGGGATAGGAGTGGGTCATCGTATAGTCATAGAAGACAACTTTGTAGGATACTTTAGCAATTTGTTGTAAGGGACTAAGATCGTTTATCGAAGGCAACATCGAAGTGTCATCGAGGGACTACGATCTTTTAATCGAGGGTCTTTTGCTAAAGCATCTCACTTTCAAGGGACATGACTGTTTATTCGAGGCAACTAGTGTGGGTTATCCTAGAGGTACATGTGTGCAAGGTGTGTTTGATTCAATTATTTGTCTTGGATTAGGGTTTTGCTATGGTTGCTTTTAGTCTTATCATGCAAACCCTAATTACTAACAATAATAAGGAAAGCAAAAAATTGTGGAATTTAAATGTCCTACGCTATTACAACGCTTTGGGAATAGGGGAAGGAAAGCAATAAAGCCTAATTATCTATTACAGACCATTGAATATGAATAATAATAAAATGCACAAAAATGTAAAGTAGAGAAAAAAAAGAAATTGTTTTGATGATCATTTTGATGAAAAGGGTTTAATGGTTGACTAAGTGATTGACTTTGTATTTTAAAAGAAGTTAGTAAACCTAATTAAACTAAGATCAAAATTAATTTCACTAACCAAAAGTAAAAAATAATTTAAATACAAAAAAGCTTAAATCTAAATTATTTTAAAAGGGAAATTAGTTATTATAAATTTTTTTTTGAAGTTTTATTTATTTGGGAAATAAATGAAGTAAAAAATAAAATCAAATAAAAAATGATTGAATTAAAATCTTTTTAATCTAATTATTTAGGAAAATATATATTTTTGTACTTTTGGTTAAATGAAAATAAATAAATAAATAAAATATAGAAAATATACAGAATATGAGAAATATTGGGCCTAGGTGCTGAAAAGTAATTAGGGGCGTGAGAAAATAGCAAAAAAAGGTTAGGCTCAAATATATTTTTTGTTTGAATCAGGAAAAAAAAGGACCTGGTTGCTGAAAAGTAAATTGGGGGTGAGAAATAGCAAAAACAAAAACAAAAAAGAAGGCCCAAGCTAGGGAGGCCCAGACGCCTGTTTTGCGATTCCATGTGGGCAGTTCAAAGGAGTGCATCATGGTCATTCATCTTGAGGCGCTTGATTTGATTGCCTAATGATCAGATGGAAATGGGTGTAGCATGCACTTCCTGGACTTGGGTGCATGATACTTGATTCATGCTTTTAATCTTGCTTGCAATCAGAGATATAAGTCACAAGGTCCAATGCATTGACAATTTGAATAAAGCTTGCTTTTCCAAAATAGAAGTGTGACCTTTCTTCCTTAAATGACAAGTTAACTTGGAAAAAGCTTGAATCACTTGGACAATGGATCAATCAGTTGTGTAAATATTAAATTATTAAGTTATTTTCAAGTTAGAAGTCATTCATAGCAATATTATGCAGCATGGTTGAAGATTGGATCATAAGGTTCATCACAAAATGACCTAAAATTCAAGTTTGTGATGCCATCTTCTTCTCTTCGAATCTCCTAGCTCAAAAATCATCTCTTCAAGTTCTTAGACTTTTTGGAAAGCTTGAAACATTGTCTACAACCTTCATGTTTACCACTTTGGCTAAATCAATTTGGAACTTGGTGAAAAATTGCCAAGAAGTTGGGACAAAAATCTGACCAAACTTGTTAAAAATTTCACTAAGTGTTTTGTTAAAAATATCATGACTTTATGAGCCTATATCTCCTAATCCAAGCATTTTTTAGACATCAACCCTCAAGGAAAAAATTTTAGAATTCATCAAGATCTACAACTTTCATGTTGAGAGTTTTCTTTGAATCATCTTGTATCTTGGTGAAAAATGATCATGAAGTAGTGAAATTATCAAGGTTAAAAACACTTAGAATTTTTCTAAGTATTAGAAATCTTGACTTTTGTTGACTTTTCTTGACTTTCTTGATTCTTGATGATCAAGTTTGATATTTTGAATGTCTTGATGAAACTTAATATTTGAAATTCAATATTGACCAAAAAGTCACAGTTTGACTTTTGTGTGTCAGTTGACTTTTCATCAGTTGATTCAAATTTCAACTATCAATCACTTGATCTTTGAGGATGTTTTGAACCATGGAATTAGGTCAAGATATTGTGTTTGAGTCCTTAAGATCATGCTTCAAGTCATTAGACCATGTATTAGGTCAAAAGTCAATGATCAGTCATTTTTAGTCAAAACTCTAATTTGGTCAATTTTGTCCTTTTGATGATTTGAATGCTTTCTTTGAGAAATTATGATCATCCCTTGATCAAATAATAAATATGACTTCAGAATGTTTATGTTGACCAAAAATCTTGAAGTTTGACTGTATATTGATCACAGTTGAATTTTTACCCGATACAACTAATTTTCAGTCATCTGAGTAATTGAGTAAGCAATTTTGAGATGCAAGACTTAAAACATGGCATAAGCAATCTTGGAGGTCTATGATGAACAATGAAATTCATTTGAGGCAATTAGAAGTCCAATTTTCCTTGTGGAAACCAAAACTATAATTTGTGGTCTCAGTGCTTAAGAGGTTAGTTTGTTTGATCAATTCTTTGAGAATCATTGAGCATTTGAGATCTTTTGTGAGAAATGTCTTGAAGAAAAGGGAAGGAAAATTTTAGAGTACAACACTTATATATCCAAGTTTGATAATAATGAATGATATTAGTGCTCTTCCATGAGTTCCTTTATCTCAAGATACACACTTAGATAATGTCCATTTGTTGGAAGATTTTAAGCACACCAAATAAAGAGAATATATATATATATATATATATATATATATATATATATATATATATATATATATATATATATATATATATATATATATATATATATATATATATATATATATATATATATATATATATATATATATATATATATATATATATATATATATATATATATATATATATATATATATATAAAAGTAAAGCAATAAACTTACTTTTCTAAATGATACATTAGTTAAATCTATCACTAACTTATTTCTTCAACTAAAAAGCAAGTTATACAAAATCTAAATAAGGGATAAACAAAAAAGCCCCTTAACTTAACATTGTTCAATATAAAAAACATCAAATTGAAAAAACAGTTCAAAATCATAAGTTTGAAAGTGTCACTAATCTCAACATATCTTAGAATATATACTGAACAGATAAAAATTTTGAAGAACTTGACCATGGTACATGAATCACAACCATGAAATCTTCATATTCAAAGCCAACTTCTTTGCCATCAATTCTACAAATCTTTGGTTTCTCTGATGCAAACACTCTCATTTCACCACTTCCTCTAACTCCAACTCGAACCAAATCTTGAACCTCATCAAATTCCAATGACTGAATTGCCCCTCCATTGTTTAACATGTTCACCAAACCAATAGGAGCAAACTTCAAGGACTTTTTAGGAAGTAACGTGATAGGAGAAACAGTTATAAGCTCAAAATTGAATGGTTCTAAAGAGATTTCTTCAGTGTCTGAGGGAGAGAGAATTTTGAGCTTTTTGGCTTGGCTGAAATATAGAGCAAAGAGTTCTACACTTTCAATGGAAATTGGATTTTTTCCACTTTCCCATTCAATGTCTTTGATATTGATTGTAGTTGATACCGAATGAGAAAATTCAGATGCGCATTTGTTTGATCTTATGTCGCGAAACCATCCTCCTCCTTGACAGTTAAACATGCCAAGAACTCCGGTGTACTATTTCAAAAAAGGAACAACATTGTCAAACACAAATTCAGAAAAATGAATATTTTTTAATCACAAATTATTAATAGTTAAATTATATTAAACGCAAATTAAATGCAGGTTGAACTGTAGATCTCTATCTCCTTTAACTCTATGTCTGATTACAAAATAAAATTGACAGTAGAGGATTTGGGCTCACAATTCTACACGCCGTAATGATATGATTGAAAATTTGGATCGATTCAAATTCGAATTAGAATAAATTATTATGTAAGTGAGGAGTGAAGGTTCACCTTGTTGAGGTTCCATATTTTGAGCATTGTTTTGCCATCATGTAAAGGGTCAGCAAAGAGACAGTCCTTAGTTGGTAGGGCATAATATTCACATCTAAGGATAGTACCATCTGGCAAAGCTAAGGTCTTGAGAAGTTCAAAATTGTGATTTCCAACAGTGTCACTTATGTAAATAGGTCCACCAGATATGGCCCTAGAAGCTGCATGGAAAGTTGCACAAGGGTGTGTAGATTGGAACATATCCCAATCTGGTTGAATGAAATTTCCCATCCATAAGCTATTGTATGCACAATGTACCATGTGACATCCTTGTAACCAATATGTACCATTTGGATCACCATAAGGGTCAGTGCACCAAAAATCATCACCTGATTCAAAATACAAATCTAAATTTTTAAATAAGATTTCTTCGTACACAACACAAAAACAAAAATAGAAGTGTCATGTGTAGATACATATTAGTTAAGATAAGAAACTTGGTTTGCGTGACATACCAACGCGACCGAGGGATATGGCTTCGGTTCCAAGTAACATGAAATCATTGCAATGTTCCATGCTAGCAATGACACCATTACCATTGAAATGTTTCTTCACTGAATTTGTGAGAGCTTTGTAATATGCTTTTGCTAAATCAACTCTACCACCATACTTCTCACACACCATCTCTAGCAACTGATTAGCAAAAACATCAACCAAAAAGAAAATGTCAAAAGATGATAAAAACTTACTAAGAAAAAGGTTAGTTCAACCTTATTTAAAATAACTATAAAAGAAAGTCTAAATACATTGTAAAATAATAAAGTCAAATAAACAAAAAGCTTGTCCTGCCATGACTTTCTAAAAGTGAATACTTTCAATTTAATTAAAAATAAAAGATAACGTGCCGACCAAATGATTATGGATAATGAAATTGGCCCTACAGCTTTTTTTTCTTGAGAATAAATTGGCCCTACAGCTTCAGCTTTTTTTTCTTGAGAATAAATTGGCCCTACAGCTTTACCCATCATTTTATTGCCTTTATTTTGTGAATTGTGACACATGCCGACATAACTAAATAATTTTTACGTTATAAATTAAAAAATATATAAATTATATATCATAATAAATGATAATGTAAGAAGGGTTTTTGAAATATACTTTTAACACCTTATTTTCATCATTCAGCTAAATATATGAATTTAATGCGTGAGTTTTTAATAATTATTGTTATTTTATAGCGATTAATAAGTGTTGACATTAAATTTTTATTTATTTTTTGGTAAAAGTTTTCTAAGCTATGAAATATATATATATATATATATATATATATATATATATATATATATATATATATATATATATATATATATATATATATATATATATATATATATATATATATATATATATATATATATATATATATATATATATATATATCTTAAGAAATAATAATTTTACTCAACAAAATATATGATCATATAAAATATAATATGAATAAATAAATAAATAAATTTAAATATATATGTAATTATAATTGTTAATTAAAGTTATTTTTAATAAAGTATGGGCAAAATATTTTTTTCCTGTATGTTAACGTTAAAACAATTATATTATTTCTTTAACTTTTCAAAATATTTTATTTTTATTATTTTTATTAACAATTAATTTAACGTTGGATTACTAAGTTTTTATAAAGTTAATTATATAAAAAAGAGTAAAATGAAGTGTTTTTAAAATTAATTGATTAATATAAATTTTTTTAAAATTAAAAGCTCAAAATGAACCGATTCAAAAAGGATATTAACAAAAAGGTATTTTGCCATATTAGTAATAAATTTGACTCTCTTGTACCCACTTATATTATTGATATGTCACACTTTAGGTGAATTTAATATTATTGATAGAGAATAATATTTACATACAGTTACAGTGTAAATTTTTTTTATACAATCATTTAATGAAAAATGAATAATCTACCATATCATTACAAGTTTTTTAAAATAAAAATATAATTTAATTTAATATATTATTATAATTGATGATAGTATAAAATTATTTTATACAAAACATATCACTTCTTTTCTCTTATTGATGATAACAATGGAACGTCTCATTAAAAACGAACAAATCATCTATTTTTAGTACAAATATGCTACGAAAGGACAAAAGATTATTTTTGTGATTAAAATATTAAAAAAATGAAAAGTGTTATTAAACTAACAAAATATAAAGAAAGAAAAGTGGTTGAAATTAAAAGAGAAATACTTACATGGATGACATCAACTTTGAGCCCATCAATTCCAGAATCTTCCAAAATAGAATGAATACCTTCATACATTTGATGAACCAAATGAGGAGGAACTAACCCTACCCCATTATTAACAATCTTATCAACGGCCAAATCTTCCATAGTAGTTTCCAATCCAACACTCAATTTAGGTGTCTCCACAATAGCTTCCGGTAAACCCTCAACACCAGGTCTTACCCCACCCCAATAACCACACAAAGCATGCCACACATACACATACTCAACACTCTCAAAATCTTTCTTCAACTCCTTAACAAATCCACCTAACCCTAATCCATTCTTATAATCCTTAAACTTATAATTCTCTTCAAATTTAATTAACCTACATGGCATCTGTTCACCCGCGTCCGTGCGATTAATCCCATCGTTAGTATTAATCGGATCATCATCACGGGCTATAGATTGCCAACCATCGTCGATTAAAACAAAGCCAGGTGGACAACCACCATTGGTTAAATTTTTTACACCTTCCCTAATTCCTTGAGGGTGTACCTTAAGATAAAATGCATCCCATGTACACCATCCGAATTTCTCCACTATGCCCGGAACAGATTTTTCTTCTAGAAGCTTGAATGTTCCTAAGTGGTCCCTCACTTTTTTCATAGCTTCTTTTACTAGCTTAAATGGATCGTTACCCGCATGAACATAAACGACAGTGTCATATTCAGATTCTGTTATGGAAGTTGAACCACTTTCCATGCAAACTAAAATGTTGTCGTTTTTGTCGGATTGTAAAGAAGCGCGAAATGGACCTTCTATTATTGGGAGAAATAAAACATAGGGTCGATATGTGTTCGGATTCAAACCCGAGTTTGGGTTTGGATCCGAGTTTTGGAGCATGAGAAATTGAGTTTCGGTTTCGATGTCTTTGCCGTTTGAACCGGTCCAGAGAGTGGTCCACCATACTTTGAACCGGAATATGCTTGTGAAGTTTATGTTTTTGAGTTTTCCAATGGATGCCACGTGGCGGGGTTTTGGTTCGGTGGTTTTGAAGCCGAGGAAGCAACCGTCGGTGGTGGTGGTGGTGGTGATGTTTTTGGGGACATCAGAGAGGATGATGTGATCGTTGACTTTTAGGGTTGACTCGGATAAGGTGAAGGTGAAGGATGAATTGGAACAAGAACTGAGGTTTTTGCTTGTGGTGATGTTGTTGGAGTTGTTTTTGTTTGAGTTTAAGGTTGGATTTGGAGGAGACATTTTTTGAGGTTTGGGTTGTCAAGGTGAGAGAAGAATGGTGTTAGTGTGTGTATAGTGGTGAATGAGAGAATATAATAAGTGGATAATAAGTAGTTGGAACGTATGAAATAAAAGGGAAGTGAATAAAAAGTTGTTTGTGTTTGGTTTTGAATTTTGATGAATGAATAAGCAAGAAATTGATGTGTATTTATAGATGAAAAGAATATGAATTTTCATGCATTGAGTGGGACCCTAACGAAGAAGGTGTGGTGAAGGTTGGTTTTGATATTAGTGTTTTTTTTATTGTGGGGTCTTTATTTGTGTGTGGGTGATAGTTGAGATTTTCCAATAAAATAAATATTTTTTTTAAATTTTCTTGTGAAACAAAAAGAAGCACGTGGCATTGAGATGAGGTTAGTTAAGGACGGTTAGAATACGTTAAGAACAGTTGATAAGTCAATAGTCAAGGTTGAATAAGACTAAATTTTAGGGGCACTTGTCTCTCCAATATTAAGTTTGGAATGGAAATATTGTAATGTTGGTGTCGGTGAGATAGGGATATATATCCAAAAAGTAGATTATGGTTGAGCCAGCAAGAAGGATAATACTATAAATAACAAATTTATAGTTAAAAGATTTCAATAACGTGTGATGAATTAGTTGAAGCTATCACTCCAAACAAAGATGGCTTATATTAATTAGTATATCACAAAAATTATCTTATAATATTCTCATTCATCCTTCTATTAAAAAAAGAAAGTTCAAGTACTTTTTTATCTTGGTTACAATTTTCAACATACATGTATCATTTACATAATGTCTCTGCACAACTGAATTGATTTAATAAAAAAAAGTCACTAGAGGCCATCCGCGGCACTCACGGTCTCTTGAGTTGGAAATATCCCAGGCAGTATGTGTCACCGACCTTCGCGTGCGTGAGCTAATTTTAAAGTCTTTTTGCTAGATTCGGTACGAAAAACACAACATAAAATTAATCAAAAGATGGTGTACTCGAGTTGAAAGAAGTGCAATAGTGTTGATAGAAAGGTAAAGAAAAGATTCTTACAGCCAACAATGTTTGAATATAATGTTCATCTGGTATACAGTTATGTATCTTAGACGTGTCAGCGGGCCGCACGAAGAAAATAAACATATTGAAGCTAACGCGATAAAATGAAGACATCCTTAAATAAACTTGTTTGTATAGAGTACTTACAATGATTTGATCCCTCTAAAATTCGGGTAGCGGCTTTTTCTGCATTTAGAGATGAAAAGAAGAATAAGTTATCAACATAAAGATGCACAACATTCTTCAACAACAATTCCAATGTTTTCAATATAAATTTGGGATGAGACTTTAGAAAATGTTTTTAATGATCCATGTGACACTTGCATAACCTCGGCGGCTCATAAAAGACACTTTATCGATGAAACATGTCATCTATTACCTTGCAGTATTTTTGAAACATGCATTAGACTAACCAAATCAATAATATTAAGAGAAAAAAGATGGTTCATTGACGGTATAAAATTCAGTATAAAACTCACTATTAATCAATAACAATCATGTAAGCACCATGTAAATTTTAAAATATATGTTTTAAAATATTTTGATTGAATATCTGTATAATATTTTTTTACACCGGTTAATACACTATCATTAAACTCAACTATTAATTATTGAACATATATACTAACCCTCAATTTCTCGTTATATAGTTTTGTTATAAGTCTTAGTTATTCTATCATCTACCATTTGCTGCAAGTGATGATCATCATACGAGTCACAAATATTAGAATAAAAATGAAAAGATATATTTTTGAGTTTATTAAAGACCATAAAAATTATAAATAGAATGCAACTCCAAAGAACTTAAGGTTAATAGGTGTATTTTTCAATTGGTATAATTAAAGGCAATTGAAAAGTTACAAGCAATCACTAGAGACATGTATAATAAACATAAATTTATGGAAAGACGTCTTCAAAGTTAATCCATCATCTATATTAGATGTTTAAAAATAAATCAAATGTATTATAAAGGTTTCTGGAATCGTTTCGTGCAAAATAGTTTATTTGAAAAGCACTTTTGGAAAATTGGAAATTCAAAGTTTTGAAGAAGAAACTGATTTTTCAATTTGAGAAAACCGATTTCTGTTGCGATTTTCAGTTTCTGGGTTTGTTCTTCAGTTGAGGAAATCGTTTTCCCTGTTTTAGGAAACTGGTTTCTAGCACGATAATTTTCTGCTTTAAGCTATTTTTTTTGGACATTTTAGTTTCAGTTGTGTTTTAGGTGTGTCCTATATAAACTCTCTTGTAATGTGTGTTTTAGTTAGTGTCAATTTTAATATTTCTCCTCAATTACTCTCTCTCTCTCTCTCTCTCAAATAATCTTCAAATTCTCTCTAACTTCATTTTCTCCAATTAACCACTTTTCATCATTAATTCACCAACTTATTTTTGTGTATGTTCCAACATTTGGTATCAGAGTCTGGTTCTGATCCATTAATCCGCTGCAAACATGTCTACCGTTTTTAATGATCGAATCCCACAAATCTTCCAACCTTTGACTCCAAGAACTATGACAAATGGTGCAAACAAATGAAAATTTTATTTGGGTATCAAGATATTCTTGAAGTGGTTAGTGATGGTGTTACACCACTTGGGGTAGAAGCTACAGCTGCTCAATAAGTTACATTCAAGGAAGAGAAGAAGAAAGACTATAAGGCACTCTTCTTGATACATTCTTGTGTCGACAATGACAACTTCAAAAAGGTTGGTGATTGTGCGTCGGTGAAGCAAGCATGAGAGATCTTGAAGAAATCTTATGAAGAAATGATAAAGTAAAGGTTATGAGGTTACAAACTCACAAGAGGCAGTTCGAGCTAGTGCAAATGGAAGAGAAGGAGTCGATCAATGATTATGTTACACGTATAACACGTTTGGTGAATTAAATTAAGTCTTGCGTTGAAACCGTGTCAGAGCAGAATGTTGTTGCAAAGATCTTACGTTCTTTAACGTCAAGATTAGACAATATTGTGGTTGCAATCATAGAATCGAAAGACCTTCCTACATTGATCAAGGAGGAGCTTCAAAGCTCATTAGAGGCTCATGAACAAAGGATGGATGAAAGAGGAAATGATAAACCCATAACGGATATTGCGTTGCAAGCACGGTTCAATGAGAAGAACACGAGATTGAAAGGAAAATGGTCTTCAAAAGGGAAGACAAATTTCCAGAATTTTGGTGGAAAAGATTCACAAAATTCAAAGGCTTCGATAGCACAAAGAGGTGAGAGCAGCTCAAAAGATAGTGGTCAAGGTAATTACACCAAGAAGTTTGACAAGAGTGGCGTGAAGTGTTACAATTGTCACAAGCTTGGGCATTTCGCAAAAGAATGTAATGCAAAATCGAGGGAAAATCAAAGTGATAAAGCTAAAGTATCTAGAAAAGAGGTGGATGATGATAATACACTTCTGGCCATGATCACAGAAGAGAATTATGGAAAGGAAAAGTTGTTGGACAGCAGCAGTAGCAGTTGTCAGTGGCTGGGCAGCAGCGTCTGCAGTGCAGAAAATTTTACAGAAACACGTTCAGAGCAAAATGTAATGGTGATTGTTCAAGATATAGTCCAAGAAAATGATGAGTGATACTTGGATTCCGGTTGTTCAACGTATATGACGAGCATAAAAGATTGGTTTGTCAAAAACAATCAAGCCACAAAGAATAGAGTAAAATTTGTGGATGACACCACTTTAGCGGTCGACGGTGTGGGTGATGTTTTGATCATGAAGAAGGATGGGAGTCATTCCTTGATCAAAGATGTGTTATAAAATCCTGAAATTAAATTTAATCTCTTGAGCATTGGTCAATTGCTTGAGAAGAATTACATAATTCGCATGAAAAACAAGATTTTACGCGTTTTGGACCGAAACAGAGTTTTAATTCTTAGATCACCCATGGTTGTAAATCGTACTTTCAAGGTAGAGTTAAAAGTGATGGAGCACAAGTATCTTTCTACAGAGGCAAGTCGTGATGAGTGGTTGTGGCATTACCAATTTAGACATCTCAATTTTCGAGACCTCGACGAGTTACAAAGGAATGGTATGGTGACCGAGCTGCCCAAGATCAATGTTCCATCTGAGATTTGTGAAAAGTGTGTTCAAGGGAAGAAACACAAGAATAGTTTCAGCAAGGATACATGTCATATGACCAAACATCATCTTGAGGTGGTGTACTCTTATGTTTGTGGTCCAATGCAAGTCGACTCGTATGGTGGAAATAGGTACTTTGTCACATTCATTGACGATTTTAGTAGGAAGCTATGGATTTGTCTAATCAAGAGGAAAGATGAGGTGTTTGACGTTTTCAAATGTTTTAAATCCATGGTGGGGCGACAAAATAGTCACAAGTTGAAATTTCTCAAAACCGATTGTGGAGGCGAGTATACCTCGAGTGATTTTGGGAATTATTGTGATGTTAATGGTATAGTACGTGAGGTTGTGCCACCTTATATGCCTCAATAAAATGGTGTTGCCGAGAGAAGAAATTGTTCAATAATGAATATGGTTTGTAGCATGTTGAAGGAAAAAAGCTTGTTGAAGGAATTATGGGGTGAAGCCATGTCTACAACCGCCTATTTGTTGAACAGATGCCCTACTAAGAATCTGGACAAAGTGACTCCATAAGAGGTATAGTCTGGACATAAACCAAGTTTAAGTCATTTGAAATTTTTCGGTTCGGTAGCATTTCGAAATATTCCAAGTCAGCTTCGAAGGAAGTTGGATGATAAATGTGAGATGATGTTACATGTTAGTTATCATCCTACTGGTTTTATGGTGAAGAATCAAGAGGGAAGAGTCTACAAATTGAAGAAGGCACTCTATGGTTTGAAAAGAGCACCTAGAGCTTGGAACAAACGTGTAATACGGTGGGAGAACTGACTTGTTTTTATGTTTTATCCCAAATGTTGCGGATAGCAAGAGTCGCCATCGACTTTTCTGTTATTCAATAAGGAAAGGGT